GAGCAACGCAGCCTTTATTAAGCAGCTACTCTGTGCCCAAGCACTGAGCCAGGTTCTGGGGATGCCCTTGAAGAACAGACATTCTTTTTGTGGGTAAATACCACGTGCTTAGATAAGTAGATACAAAAGATATACTCATGGGAAAATCACTTTGTAAACATCACTGTGCTATAGAAATATCCACTATGATAATCACGAAATTGCAGTGTGTTGACTATATCCAGTGCTCTTTCCACCATGCAGTTAATGACAATCCCTTTCCCAGTGTCCAGGCCTTCCTACTCCCCCTATGCACAGACACCCCCACAGAAGGCCATGGGGTTTGTGACCCCCCCCCCCGGGCGGAGGGACTTTGGAGAGGGGATATCAGAATCGCAGAATCTCTTGGGGGGAAGGGATCCCAAAGGGCAGCTGGTTCAACATGTATCGGAAGAGAGACTCCATACACGGTACCCTTCCAGTGCTTACTCTATCTACACAGCACTGTGCAGATAGCAGATATTTTAATACTCTAGTATTTTAATACTCTGTAGTCTTACCACTAGGGGTAACTTTGAAAGAGTACCTGAGCTTAAGGATCTTACAAGGATCTTTCCTGGGGTAAGGGAAGAGAGGCAGACACTTTCCTGTGTGGCCCTGGGCAAGTTACTTAAGCTCAGTCTCAGTTTCTTCATCTGTAAAATGGGGATAATAGCACCTAACTCACAGGGTTGTTGTTATGAAGATCAATTTAAATAACATGTAAAACATGTTTAAAGGACTCTATAAATGCTGGTTATTATTATTATTAACAACATATACACAGATTAATAAATACAAGATAGATTGAGGAAGAAGATAGCATTAACAATTGGAAGGATCAGTAAAGGCTGAAGTGAGGACAAAAGATCTTCACTTTTTTTGTGCCCTGGACCCCTTGGGCAATATCTGGTGAAACCTAAGGGCCCCTTCTCAGAATGATGTCTTCAAATGCATAAAATAAAATGCACAGGATTACAAAGGAACACAGTCATACTGAAATAAGGATGTATTTTTCTCCCATCTAAATTCATCAATGAAATCTGTTCACATTCTGTAGACCCTAAATTAATAGCTCTTGGAAAAGGAGGTGACATTTAAGTTTAGCCTAGAGGAAGGGTAGGATTTTTAAGAGGCATTGATGGGGATCTAGGCATTAGTTGAAGGCAGGGAGGTGAGCAGAAAAGCATACTGGTGACGTCAGTAGGAAAGGGAAGTTTGCAGGAGGGGCAGGCCTTAGAGGGGGAAAATAGTAACCTGTTGAGCCTGAGCTGTTAGTGGATATGCAGTTAACGTCCAGGTAAAGGAAGTCAGGGAGGCAGCCAGAGAGCGATTAGGGCTGGATATATAGACTTGGGACTCAAGGGAACACAGATGATACCTGAACCCATGGGAGCTAATGAGTATATATGGAGAGGGGGAAATCGAAAGAGAGAGAGAGAGAGAGAGAGAGAGAGAGATAAAGAGAATAGAGAGAGAAGTCAAGTAGGATGAGTACTAAGAAAATGCCAATTGATTTAGACATTAAAAAATAGTAGGTAAATAATCTTGGAGACAGCAGTTTTTCTTTAGTGATATGGTAGGAAGCCAGACTGCCAGGTGATAAGGAGGGATGGAAGGTAAGAAAGAAGAAGCAATCATCATAGGCTACTTTTTCTAGGAGTTTTGCTATGGAAGGGAGAAGAGAGAAAGGATGATTAGCTTGAGGGGATGACAGAGTTGAGTGAAAGAATCTTTTTTTAAGGATGTAGAAGACCTGAATGTGTTGTAGGTAGATGCCAAGGAGCTGTTATATAAGGAGAGATTGATGATACAAGAGAAAGCACTGATCAGAGGCAAGCTCCTGAAGGACAGGAGATCACCTGAACAAGTAGAGAGGTTGGCCTTGCCACGAAGGACCACCTCATCCTCAGACACAAAGCAAAGTTGGAGAAAATGGGTTTTGAGAGTGGAATAGAAGAAACGAAGTAATGAGTGACTGAAGGCCTCAATTTCTTGCAGTAAAACCTAGACAAGATCCTCTGTTTAGAGTGAGGAGGAGATGGGGTGGGGATGGAGAAAGATCAAGTGACTTGCCCAGGGTCATACATCTGATTCAGTCTGAGGCTAAATTCAAACTCAGGTCTTCCCAAGTCTAAGATCTATCCAATATGCCACCTAATAAGGATTATCTCATTCTTTGTATCCTCAGTGCAGAGCACAGTACACAGGAGATACTTAATAAATGATTGTTGACTGACTAATTGGTTGGCTTTCAGAACCTGCTGCTCATTCCCTAACAGAACTGCCACACATCAGTCACATCATTCCTTGATGGAATGGTGGCCTTGACAATGTTGATCTGTACTTTGAATTTCTGGGCCAATGCAGAAGTCCACCTGGAGTCTTGAGTGCTCAGTTCCAGCGTCCCCTGGGTAGTGTCCATATTGATGGCATCAGTAATGAGCTTCTCTAGTCCCGGAAGATTCTATACCTTCAGGTCTTTCAGCAACAAATGCATTTCGTTCTTTTGATGGTCAGTTAGTCAATTAGCATTAAGTACTCACCACTTATCAGGCACTGTGGTAAGTGCAAATAAAACATAGAAAGAGGGAAAAAAAATCCAGTCCACTCTCTTAAAGAGCTCACTGTCTAATGTGGGAGACAGTATGCAAAACATTATGTACAAGAAGGTAACCCCTTCCTGGGTGAGACTGCACATCCCTTCCCCCCACATCAAATATCTTATAGACACTTGTCGCTGTAGAGTACTAAAAGTGATACAAGAAATCTCTAGCTTGGCATGACAGGTGAGAATCTTCTTCCCGCAGCATCTCATCATTATTTTGGCACCTGATTCAGGCTATAGAGGGATGTGGGCTGGAGACAATATTTACTAAATTCCTGAGTCCAAAGCCCAGCTTAACTCTCTCACCAGAAAGAACTAGATCAATTAATAACCAAGCAGGTTTGAACACAAACATAAAGGTGCTATGTGTCTGTACTCAGTAAAGTACTGGGGGGGGGGGGGATGAACCATGTCTCTGGTTGACATGCTGCCCTCTTACCAGTATGCCCGGGTGCCCCCAACTTCTGAGACCTCCTTTTTCTAGTGCCAGATTTTTCTTGCTCTCATCAGGGGGATCGCAAACGCCCACTCTCCTGACATCTTTAAATTCCAAACGTCTACCTTATGTGTGGGCTGTCTGAAAGCCTTCAGCTGTACCTGGCTCCTTCTTTTCACCCCTATTTGGCAAATAGTGCAGAGCCTATTTGTGGTGGCATTCCTCTAGCAAAAAACAAAATGAAACAAAAAACGACTTGACCTAGCTTTTCTGAACTTCATTTGTTTCTAGTTGCGCTTGAATTTATTTTTGTTACAAGTTTTGATTTTTGAGACATTTCGACATTTTCTCGTCCTCCCCCTCTTGACATTTACTACAAAGCAGCAGCAGGTGATTGGCACCTGGCTGGAGAGTTTAGGTTTTTCAATAGTAATAGGTGTTTTTCAATAGGAATTGTATACGTAGGGATTCTGACTTGACCCAGAAGCAAAAGATCAAAAGGAGTAAAAAAAATTTTTTTAATCAGTAAAAATCAACAAGTACTGATTAAGCATCTACTATGTATTGGGCACTGGGAATAAAAGAATAAAACAGCCCCTATTCTCAAGAAACTTACATTCAAATGGGGGTGACAACATATTTGAGTACATATAGAATAAACAGAAATAAAGTAAACACAAAAATGCTTATTCAATGTTTTAGAAAATGATACCCCAGAAATGGTTTGAACACAGCAGAATGATGCAGGTCTTTTACTTCCCTTCAGATGGATGTTAAAGCACCGTAGACCAGTGTCATCTTCTCCACTCTACTCCAGCTCAATCTGAGTTCACCATTCACTAAAATCTCTAGGATCTTTTTTGGTTATTGGGTAGCCACAGGTCTCCTTCCCACCCTTACATAGTAGATTTTTTTAGAACCCACCCGTAAAGACCCAACTTTTCTGTCTGGCATTTATAGCCCTTCACAATTTGGCTCCAGTCTATATCATTCTTGACTTATCTGATCTGTTATTTGTTGCATTTCTTGTACTGCCTTTCCAGCCAAACTGGCCCGCTTTTGATGTTTCTCACATAGGCTGCCCATTTCTGCTTGTTTTGTTTTGTTTTTAGGCAACTGGGGTTAAGTGACTTGCCCAGGGTCACACAGCTAGTAAGTGTCAAGGGTTTAGTCTGAGGATGGATTTGAACTTGGGTCCTCCTGACTTCAGGGCTGGTGCTCTATCTACTGCGCCACCTAGCTGCCCCTGGCTGCCCATTTCTTAAGTCTTCGAATTGATGTCCTCCATGCCTGGAAAACTGTCCCTCTTCATTTCTAGCTCTTGGGATCCCTAGATCCATTCAAAACTTAGCTCAGGTGCCATTTTCTTACATTAGGAACTTCCTGAATCCGATTTTTTTTTAGCACTTAGCCCACTGGGTGGCATATACCATGCACTTGATAAGTATTTATTGACTGACTTAATGACATTACTTTGCATAATCTCCACAGTTCTATCAGCAGATTGTAAGCGTCTTGAGGGCAGGGACTGATTTTTGTCAGTTTCCTCAGTGCCTAGTACAATGTCTGGCACAGTCGGCCCTTTCTGAATTTGTAATTTGTATACTTTTTGAATTTAATTAAATTGGCAATTGTCTCTGGTTATAAGCTGGAAGGATGAAAGGAAGAGGAGAAGAGGTGGACATATTTGGGATACGCCTCCAAAACTTCTCTGCACCCCTCCAGCCTGGGATCGGGCCAGGTGTCATGGCAGCGCCCAGAGGCGGTCTCCACGTGACTCCCTGGCCCTCTTTCCCCGAAATTCCCCAGGGTTCCCGAGGGTCGAGGTTGGGACACGGCGCATGCGCCCTATCTGCTTGCCGGCCGGCCGGAACGACCGTGGCGCATGCGCCGCAAGCGGCGGCCGTGGGAAACACTGCGAGGTCGGTTCCGCCCGGCTCCAACATGGCGGCGCCCTTTGTCTGCTCTGAGGTGCCGTCCCCAGCCTTCGTCCGGCAGTGATGCGCCTCCCTCTGCGGCGGGGTCCGGGACATGGCAGGTGAGGGGCATGGAGCCTAGGGAGGGAAGACAACGGTGCCTGTTGGTAGGGGCCTGAGAAGTCGGCGGGGGAGGGGCAGGAAGGGGGAGCAGTAGTGTGTAGGGGAAGGGGGGACTCCCCCCTCCCCCGAAGCGGGAGGGGGGAGGGGCAGTTTCCCGAGGGGAGGGGGCGGACTGGAGGAGAGTGTTCGGAGGGGGCGGGGGAGGTGGGGAGTGGAGTGGAGCGTTCCGAGGGGGCGGGGGAGGAAGGGAGGAAGCGCGCGTGCGCGCGTGGCGCGCCCGGCGGGGGGCTGCGCGGGATGGGGATGAGAAGGCCTCGGTCTGCGCTGTCTGGGGCTGGAGAGCCGCCCTATGTATGGGCCGCCTGCTGGGAAAGGGACGAGCCTGCCGGGAGCGCCCTTCTCGGCCCGCCGCCTTCCCCCACGGCCCTCCACGTGAGAGGAGCCGAGTTGTCTGACCCCTCCTCGCCCTCGGCGCTGGAGCAGAGGGCAGCCCCAGTGATGACCCCGCCGTCACCCTGGACGGGGGTCAGGTCCGGCTCTCTTCGTCCGGCCCTTCTGGCCGACTGAACGCCTCCTGGGCGCCTGCGGGGGAGGGGAGCAGTCCTGACCCGGAACCTACGGGCCATGTGACCTTGGGCAAATCACCGAACTTCGGTGCCCTCCCCTCCCCCCGGGCACCAGGGAAACTTACCAGAGTGTGAGTTACCGCGGATCTGTGGAGGCAGGGCCTGGCATACCGTAGGCGTCTAATAAATGCTAGCTCCCTACCGCTGTCTCCTAGAACTCGAGCTCCGTGAGGGCAGGCGAGGTGTTTTTGCCTTTATATCCCAGCACTGGCACTTAGTAGGTGCTTAATAAATGCTCATTATTTTCTTGCTGTCTCTTAGAACTGAGTCTCCATGAGGGCTGGGGCTCTGTTTTTACCTTTTTTTGTATCCCCACTGCTTAACAAATGCTAATAGACTGACTGCAGAGACGAAATCAGCCGCGGGGACAAAAAAAAAAACCGTGATGATCGTAGGGCTAGTGCTCTGGATGTAGATGAAAACAAAACCTGAGAGCCCTTACCCCAAGGATCTTTTTCATTCATTCCATCAAGCATTTTATATAGAAAATTTCAATAGGTCCTAGTCGTAGGAACACCAAAGTAGGTTAGTACATGGAGAGGTGCAAAGAGTGCTGAGAGAGATTGAAGAGCTGGCATCTGAGTTGGACATTTAAAGGACTGGTAAGAATTTGGTAGGTGAAAAGGAGGAGAGAAGAAATTCCAAGCCGAGCAGCCAGTGCCGAGAGCCACAGAGCTGCTTGTGTGCAGAGCATTCTATTTTGACCAGAACAAAGTGTGCATAGGGTAAAATAATACGAGATATGTCATACTTTTGCATGGTTTCCCTCCTCGACTTTTCTTAGAGCACCTTGCTTGGATTTCTCCTTTGCCCTCCATCACATTTTATCTTGAATTATACATATCAGTCAGCAAACATTTATTAAGTGCTTACTGTGTTCCAGGTATCATGCCAAGGACCCAGGAAGTCCATTTGGGAGGTGGCTGTGAGCATCTTCCATGCTCTTAGTTGAGAGAAAAGGAGATTGTGGTTATATGTGGTTAAGAAATTGAGGAGGGGACCCACAAAGATGAGTTCCTCTAGTCTCCCTTACATATTCTCCAATTTACATTAGTTAGAAATATCCCCCAGTGGTGATGATGATTGGGATATGGCGATAATGGGACTGCTGAAAGGGAAGACCCAAGAAAGGTGTACAAAAGGAAACACATTTTAAATGATCTTGTAAAAGTGAGCAAAATGACTTGATTTTAAAGAAGGCTGAAGTCAGCTGGGTGATTCAGTGGATAGAGTGCTGGGCTTAGAGTCAGAAACAGAAGTTGAAATATGACCTCAGACACTTACTAGCTGTGTGATCCCAAGCAAGTCACATCACCTGTTTGCCTCAGTTTATTCAACTGTAAAATGGGAATAATAATGGTACCTATCTCCCAGGTTTATTGTAAAATTAAATAAGGTAGTAATTGTAAAGCATTTAGCACAGTGCTTGGCAGTAGTAAATGCTGTATAAATGTTAGCTATTATTAACTGTTATCATACTCCAGTTTTCTAAGCTTTTTGAAAATAGAAAGGAAAGACTTTCAAATGATCCACCTAATGCGCCCTTCATTAGAAGACTGAACTTGTCTTCTTGGCTAGGATTAGCTGGGCCCCTTGCTCTTACAACAGAGAACATACCAGAGCCTCTTTCTAATGAACATTCTTGCTCTTCTGGGTCAGGGTGGAGCTCTGTGAGTTCTGAACCATTTGCAGGAAATCAGCCAAATGTATCATTCAAACCCTACTGTGCTCACTGGGCTGTCACCCAGTCTCTACTGCTCTTTCTGTATTGGAATTCTGCAAGAGGTGGCCCTAGTCTGTAGAGCACAAACACGCTTCCCATGTGGTTTTGTGTGGCAGGGTGACATTTTGCTGTGTCATGTGCATCTCACAATAGGGCGGGGACCCCAACCTTAGAGAAAAACAAAAAACAAAGAATTCTCCAGGGACTATTGTTCTGTGTATGACACCATCACAGAGGCTGCTTCCTTTCATGGCTTAAAGCAGGACAACTGTTTTAAATGTGACTGTGATAGGATGAGGGTCAGAGATGATGGTGTGGTTGTTCTTTCCATTTGTTATAGTCACTGTGTATATTGTTTTTCTTGGCTCTGATTACTTTATTCTGCATCACTTCATGTAAGACCTTGCTTCTCTGTATCTTTATCACATTAATCATTTCTTCTTGTTAAGTCATTTCAGTTATGTCTGACTCTTTGTGAGCCCATTTGGGGTTTTCTTGACAAAGATACTGGAGTAGTTTGCCATTTCCTTCTCCAACTTATTTTACAGATGAGGAAACTGAGGCAAACAGGGTTAAGTGACTTGCCCAAGATCACACAGCTACTAAGTGTCTGAAACCAGATTTGAACTCAAGAGGAGTCGTGCGGACTCCAGACCCAGCACTCTATCCATGGTGCCACCTAGCTGCCCCCAAGGAAGTATTTGTAATAGTCCATTATGCACCGCAGTATTCTATTACATTCATTTACCACAATTTGTTTATCCATTCACCAATCAATGGGCATCTATTTTATTTCCAATTCTTGGCTATCATAAAAAGTGCAGTTATAAATATTTTGGGGTGTTTAGGAACTTTCTTATCATTAATAGCTTCCCTGTGGATATAAACCCAGTAAGGCAATCTCTGGGTCAGAGAGTATGAATCAAATAAAATAACATGTGTGAGGTGGACCATACTGCCATACTGGGAATCATGGGGTTAGGATTCTAGTTCTAGTGATGTCATTAAGTAGTTCTGTGATCTTGGCCTAGTTACTTGGCCTCTGGGCCTCAGTTTTCTCATCTGTGAAATGAATTCTTGATCTCTTAGATACCTCCCTCCCCTTAGGATTTTAGACCCTTTTCCTCCTATTTCTCTTCCCTCTCTAAGGAATCTAAGAAATACTTTCACAGCAGATGAGTGGCATGTCTTGAATCCAGGAGCTTCTTCCTCTGTTGTGGCAAGGAAGGGGTTTGTGGGGATTGAGTATGGTAGATGCCTTCTGTGATGTCAACCCTCAAAAGCATTCTTAACTCAAGAGCCTACTTTTTGGAACTTTTCTCAGCTGATCTCTTCTTTCCCCTTGAAGATAAGGATTCCTGACTGTCTGTCTTCCTGTTTTAATCCCAGAACCTAAAGGCAGTTTAGACCTTAGCAGAGGAAGTACCCTCAAGTCCAGGTGGAAGCTTATCAGCAAGGCTGCACACTTCCTCTGGGCCCCTCTGTCCAATCCATAATTTGCTGTCTTTTACCAGACCTGAAAATATCTTTACAGAGCTCCAGGGTATCTTTGTTACATTTGAAAATATCCAACAAGAATATTTTGACTGCATCTTCAGATCTCACATTCTTCCCCCCACCCCCTTTCCCCTCAAGCCCATGAACCACCTTCTATTTTTCTGGTCAGGAGATTTCACCCCATGGATGGTGTTGGGGTTGGGCAGCTGATCAGCGGAAAATATGGGGGCACTCTGCTGGTGTTGGATACGGGGCCCAGGTGCACTGACCAGACCAGGTGCCAGGCTGTGGCTGCAGGAGAGAAGGCGGTAACTTGGAGCAAGTGAAAGTCACCCTTTGAGTGGATACATAGCCTTTTTTTCCCTTCATAGTGGTGATGGATGTAGCTACAGCCAGGGAAAGTTGTAGGGGCTGGATAAGAAGTCTTAGCCACTGGAAGTGTTAAGTAGGAACATTAATTTCTATGTCATTGAAGACATTAAAAAAAACAACTGGGTTTTACCACATGGGAAAGGATTCTCACCCCAAATCCGTAAATGAAATACACTTAACCATGCCTGAGAGGTTATATTAATTTTGTTCAAATCAATGAGTCATCTCAGAAAGTAAAGAGGTTCTTCATCAAACTTTTTCTTTGTGAGAGTTCTTTTGCCCAGAAACTTCTCTGTTCAGGGGCTTACAGTTTATGTGGCCAGTAAAGTCAGTGTATCAGTTTGTCAGCATATTAAACAATGCGTTTTGTCAGACCCTTTTGCCCTTATGCATCAAAGGATTGGGAAATAAGGCATCTTTTGTATCAGATGCATGGCATAATGGAACTCAGAAGACCTGGGTTCAGATCTTGCTTTAGTTGCTTTATCTGTAAAATAGGCACCATAATACTTATACTACTTACCTCAGAGTTTTTGTAAAGAATTTGCTTTGAAATTAAAAAGCCCTATATTAATGTGAGCTCTCAGCATTATGTTTGCAGGGAAAAGGAGTTTTGTCCCACTAGATGTTTTTGCAGATTTTGACACCGACTTGTTTGTTAACATGGAGTTAGTGATAAGATGTTGAAGCTCAGAGAGGTTGGTTGTCTTAAGGCTGTGTAGTCATTAAGTAATGATTCAAACCCAGGTCTTAGGAATCCAGAGCCAGGGATTTTTTTCAA